ATGTATATATATATATATGTGTATATGTATATATCAATTAAAAATTATGATTGACAGTAATAAAACAAAGTTTTTCGTAGAATAAAGAGTAAAGAATTTATGTAGTATGAGTCCGGATATCCTGGCGATTTTACAATAGCGCGCTATTTTGATGCATTAGCGGGTACATTGATACCTCCCCCGACGAGAAAAAAGTGAGCGTGGTCACTAAAAACCTTTCGGAAGTGGTCCAGGGGACATAGCCTTCCGAAAATATGACAATTTAGGGATTTCAAAGGCTTATTTAATCGATTTTACAAAATAAATATAATTTTTTTGATTTTTTTTTTCTCCCAGATGAATTGTAGTTTTTCTCCCCGTCGGGGAGGTCCCTGACGGGTGGGGGCTGTAGCCCTGAATAGCCCCCCACCCCTGTAGCACTGCCATTGCAAGAGGGGGTTAAGGGAAAAGATCCCCAGTGCCCAAGCTTACCAGGAGGCCCATAGAAATTGCAAGTAGCATTTCATTTTTTCTTTTCAATATTCTTTTTAAAAAACAATAATTAATATCATGGGCCCTCAATAATGGCATGGGTCCCCTAATACTGGGCCACTCCAGATTGAAAGGGCTCCCTCGCAACTTTGTTTTGCGCCTTCGGAGCACTCTTTTTTCGTGCTTAATCTCGTAACTGGGGCCCACACCAAGCCTTGCCCCTGTTACAGTTTCTCCTCTTGGCAGCCCAGGCTGTCAGTAACAATATTATATAACTATTTTATTATGTACAGTACTAAATAATACTGTCCAACGTCATTCTAAAAGAATTGGAAGTTTTTCTTTTCCTTGTCACGCTGCCAGACTCTGGAATATCCTCCCAACTGAACTTCGGAACATATCTGATTCCAGTATTTTTAAACGGGCTCTTAAGACTCACTTATTTGCATAGCTCTTTCTATTACTATTGTTTTTTTTTTTTTTTTTTTTTTTTTTTTTTTTTTAATGTTGTGTGAGCTGTGCGTTTTGCTTTTGTTAATTGTTTTGACAATTGTGACGCTTGTGATTTCTGTTTAATGCACCTGTATTACATTCAGCCTTGAGTTTTACCCTGAGCTTGGAGATTTGGCGTGCGCTTTATAAACGAAAGGAAAAGGCGCAATATAAATGCGCCAACAAGTACCAGTACCAGTACTGTACGGTATAATTTTTTTAGGGCAGCATATGCGTTTATATTTGATGTGAGGATGCCCCAGTTAAATGTATTTAATGTTTTGTCTTTTGATAAAGAAAATGACATATTCCTTCCAATTTGGTGGGCCAGGATCTCATATGACTTGTACAAGGCTGTAGTGCGTCAAAATGTTTAAGAAGTTAGAGTTATTAAAATAACATAATCAAATCAATAAAATATTTATCAGCATTTTTTGCGGGGGTTTGGGTGTTATTGCTGTCCTTGGATTTTGAAAGCAAGTACAGTAGTAAAGAATTTCTATGTTGAAATAAAATCTTAAGTTAAACTATGGTTTTTAAATATTTATTTTAACTCTCATTATGGAATGAAATTGAAGTTAAACAGAGACCAGTAAAATGCCAATTTATTACCAAACCTTTTTTTTGGGGGGGGGGGGTTTACGCGGTTTTTTTTTATATGGATTTTAATTGTTAAGACCATTAAGGCCTATTATGAAAATATATTTACTAGACGCCGATAAGCATTGAGCAATTGGAGATATTAGCATAAACAAAATAGCCGTCAAAATACCATAGTTTTCATTTTTTTTTAAATATCAAAATAGACTAAAAAAAATTAGCAAACAAGTTTTTTTTTTTATTACACAAATAACGAGTTAATGAAATTACACGACCGTCATGTCATGTCACGTTCATTTTCAAATAAGCTTAAATTATACAAATTAGAGCAACATTTTGAATTGTTAATATCTTGGCAAAATTTGGACGCAGAGATTTACTTTTTTTCCCAATTGGTAAGAAGAGGTATGTTTCTAATGGCTCTCAATGTGAAAATTTCTCCAAAAATGGCCAAAAGACTAAATTAATAGCGTACAAAAGCCAAAAGCAATGAAAAACATAAAATAATGATATTCTTCAATAGAGGACGACATCGATCACATTGCTTTCAGATATTAAAAAAGAATTTTTCAAAAAAGTAAATAAATAATTTTGAATTTTTAAAAGATATATAAAATTTAATATAATATTTTTACAATAACAATTTTTTAAACAAGCAAAGAAAAGCATAACATGATGGCGAATAAAGGTATATATTATTATTATCATTATCATCATCAAAATCATCATCAAAATTATTATTATTATTATTATTATTATTATTATTATCATTATCATCATTATTATCATTCTCATCATCATCTCAAAAGGCGAACAAAGTTATAATCATATTGTTTCTAAAATTCGAAAAAAATATCATTTAAGACAATTACCGTCAAATAACCACCAAAAATTAATTAAATCACAAGAATTACAAAGTCTGAAATTATCATATATAAATATATATATATATATATACAATATATATATGCATAAATACATATATATATACATATACATATATTATATATATATATATATATACTTTTTCATTCTAAAACAATCTGAATGACCTCAAAACTCAAAATAAGGCACGATTTTGGGCAACAACCCGGATTATAAAAACCATGAGAGGCCTAGGTATTACATTGACCGTTAAAAAGAGTACGGTAACTTGCGAGTGCAAAAAAGTTGCCAAACAAGATATTTTATAGAATTTAATAGTGTTTTTCTATAAGATCATAGGTACAATAATAGGATTACCTGTTTGCCCAATCGACAGCGGATAAGTGGCGCACATGAGTGTAAGCTGCAATGAAAATATATATAACATCAGTTTGTCTGCATTGTTAATAATAATAATGTTATAAAATAAGTTCCCTATAGTTTTATTGACATAAGAGCAAGACAAAAACTAGACTTATTATATCTGTTTGAAGGACAGAACATATGGTTTTTCCTCATTGCTATAAGGGCAAGTGATGTTGAAATATTAAAAGTCTAGCGTAAAATCACACACAAAAAAAGAAAATCATACATAATGAACTTAAAACACATTAAAGGCAACTCGACATCAGGGAAACTCAAGCTACGACTGTTAATAATATTCAAAATGTTGTAAAATGTTGTCATAATTTGATATGCACATCGTTGATATGGTCTTTGCTTGGACAATGTTTAAAGAAGATTCAAGTACGGAAAAGCCGGTTAAAAACTCTGTGAAAAAAATAATAAGAAAACGGGATTGATGAAGAAAAATAAATTAGAAAAACACAACAGTTATTTCTAAAACGAAAAAAAGTAAAAAAAAAATCGACGTTAGTAAGGCTCGAACTATAGCTGCAATGGTAAAGCAAGGAGAAATAGAGACACGTAACCACTGCGCGCTTTGTGAGTCGATCCTTTCTTAAGTCAGTTCATTTTCAGTTCATTTTTAGTTTATAGCGATTCAGTGATCGAAGCAAACATTTTTTATGCACAACTCATTGCTATAATGGGAAGTTGAAAATGCAACAAAAAAAAGTCATTAAAATGTATAAAGTACGGTAAAAAAAAAAGCACCAAAAAAAATTACTAGGCCTATGTACTAAAAAAATTAGGAAGTTAAAAAGAATGAAAAAGAAGTTCACACTGCTAACGCGATGTAAGTAAGAATCGAGCTATTGATGCAACTGGTAATCTAAGAGCGCGTACATCGATACTCATAACTATTGCGTTATATACGCGTCGACCTTGCGTTGGTCAGTACATTTTAAGTTCAACTACCTTGAGTAATATCAATTCATGACTGATTGAAAGCAAAAATTGTTCATGCATATCACGGTAATTTTGCGTTTAACCTAGCTGCAGCTATATTCTTGATCTATGCTTCGACAAAGTATGGAAAAATCCAAGCATGAAAAGTGACCAAAGTGCCTGGCGTTAAGACCGAGTGTAAAAAGATAAGAAAACCAATATGGAAGAAAAAAAAATCAAAACAAAAACAATGGCTTTTCCAGCTAAAGATGGGAAAAGCCAATAACTCTAGTATTCACCGCATATTTTTTTTTTTTTTTTTTGCGTTTACACCTGTATGATAATTATCATGACGTTAAGGAAGAGGAATCTGTGAATGTGGAAAAATTGTCTCCATCGATATTTAAAACCGAACACTTTTTCCGGTATCACCTTATTGCACCATTACATGAAATGGTCAGTTAAAGATATACAGTCCTATTAAGGTGACACTTTTTATCATATTACAACAAATATAATATACTGAACATAATAATATTTCATTCAAATTTATATTTTAAAAACCTTAGAACTTGAATATTATTAAACAGATTATTTTTATATTGATCCCAGTAGAAATTTGTGTGGTCCTGTATCAACTATTCATACTATCCAGATGTCTAATGATTAAACCAATGTTTGGCTATTAGCTGTGTTTGAAATTTTTCTATGTGAAAAAAATATCCATAACCTGTAACCATTATCCAGATTGTAAGACATTATTCAATTCATCTTTTCCTGTTTTCGTATGTAAAGCAAGAATATTTATTCAGTCATACAATTTGAATAATTAAGCACGCCTATTACATGTTTTGTTTGTTAAAAATTAGTTATATTTTAACGCATTCTTAGGTAAATTAAACTATAATTATATAGTCACAGGCATAGTAATATCAAAATATTATTAGTATGCCAACTTTTACATCAGTCAGGCCGAGGTCGAAGACCTGAGATGAGGTAGAAATATTTATGCACGAAATATAATGATCTTTTACATTACAGATACAGATTCTGATACTGATACAGGTACAGATAAACTTTATTTCATCCTTTTTATCGGAAATTACATGGTCGACAATATGTGTCTCGTTCTTAAAGACATGATACAAATATTGAGTTTATTTTTAATTACGTTAAATTTTAATTTCTTTAATTCTATAATTTGAGTGCATATTTGGAGATTTGCATTAAAGTTTCTGATTCCTCTGGGAATAAAAGAATCTCGATAACGCGGTTAGTGTGAGCCCTTGTCTACCGCATTTTTCCGCTCCGTTCAATGAAACTAGTGACAATTACAGAGCGGAGAGGATCTTTTAAAATCCTATCAAACTTTAATACCACCCTGTTACTGTAGACAGAGACCACCGACGGCACAAACTGGCCCACTATTTGTTCCGCATTATTGACGATGCGGTAAGCCTCCCCAAGTACACTAGACAGTAGCTCTAGGCACCAAAAATCATAGAATTACAGAAAGTGACTAATATATCTTTATTAACCCCAAAACATTTAAGTTTACGCAGACAGTATAGTTATGCAAGAATTAACGGGTTTTTTTTTTTTTTTTATAATATGGTCAATGTGGTCTCAGCATGAGAGAAACAGTCGAACACAACCCCAAGATACTTATATGAAGCAATTTGTTCCACAGGCTTATTAATATAGATGATATCTCCGCTATTGCTTTTCTTACAAAAATCATTAACAACCTCTTTCGTTTTTTAACATTAGGCTCAAGAAATTGTTTCTACAATACTCAACAAATGAATTGGCGAAAGATGAGTTTCATCACACTTGCTAATAAGACCAATTAAAGAGCTGTCATCCTCAAATTTAATAAGAGGTATGAATCATGATCACAACGATAATCAGAAGTGTACAATATGAAACAGGAATGGTGCCAGGACTGTGCCCTGAGGAGCACCAGTAGGCCTATGCGTAACAAAGGTATTACATTACTGAGTCTAACATATTGTGATGTATTGGACAAATAATGGAATGATTTTCAACAGACCATTTTTCAATTTAAAGTTATGCTGATGGCAATTTAGTCAATCCAATCTTTATTTATATTTTATTTATATTTATGTATAAATTAGGCCACTTGAGTCTGAAATAAAGTTGAAAGGGTTACGGTTTACCAGTTCCTACCTATTAAAGCTATTCGTAGATTAAAAATTGGCTCCACTATGTATGAGCCCCCAATTTGTATGAAGGGAGAAATAAATATAATAATAATAATAATAATCATA